TATATATATATATTATATATAAAAGATTACTGATGTTATTACAGTTCAGTGACTTCTTGTAGCAAAGTTCATAGCTAAAACTGGTCTGATGCTATTAGCATCTCAAGTTGCATAAGCATAAGGCATTACATCTAAGAAGGTTTTCTTATCATCAAATCATCTAAGATGCAACAACAACAGACAGTAGAACAACTTGCCATACCACAACATGACCCGGCCAAAAATCCAATTTTTGCATCTACTAGTATGTCATTGCAAGAAGTAAATATGTATACAAGAATAACACCATCAGCTCCAACCTTAATTGATATATCTAGGCGAGTATATTTTGAGCTATATCTATATGACCTTAACGTGCGTAAAAGGATCCTACCCGAATATTTGGATTATTATAGTACCAGCTTACTATGGTTCAGATTTGTTTCACTTAAGATGAAACTTTCAACCTATCACTCCTGAAGAACGAGACTTATTACTAATTTTACAACAATCTAGTTTTTCAATTCCTGAGCCAATACTATTACAACTTCAAGTGTTTGGTTCCATACAAACAGTAACAGGAGAACATCTTTATCCATGGTTTCCGAAATTACCTACTAGTCAAATTGGCGAATATGGTGGATTCTATGGACCTGTAACAACAGATAACCATAATCTGTATGAAGAGATACCTTGTTTAGGGGTACTGAGTGAAGCCGTAAGACAAAGTATAAGTGATACTCTGCCTGGACCATATGCATCATCTTTAAATACTGATGAATTAACTATGACTGAAAACCTATTAGGTTATTTATCATTAGGAATAAGAGCTGATGAAGCAAAAGACATTGCTTTTAATGCTGGAATTAAAGCTGATTCATTTCCATGTTATCCTTATAATACTGGTGTGAATTTAAAGCTAATAATGTCTATTTCAAATATTATAGCACAAACAAAAGTTTTCGAGTTATTTACAGTAAATTTCAATGACTTAGTTAAGGAAGGATCTGTAATTCAAACAGTTATGGTACATCCAGTTCCACCAAAAATCCGTGGCCAACAAGAGAAACATGGAAACCTCGAAGTAACATCTTTAATGGGTGAACAATTCTTATTTACTGCTGGAATTGTATTCTGCGCTCAACTATGGAAGAAAGGATCGACTAAAACGAGTGCAAAATCTTGGTCATGTGCTATTCCAGTTAACAGGACATGGATAACAAATAGAAATGAGAGAAGAAACTTTCTTCCTCTTCATTATCGACAAGAAGTTTTCAGATTGACACCTGAATTCGGTCAAAACTATCGGGCTCAAATAGTAAAAGTTTTTATGATGAAAAAAAGAAATGCAACACAACAGCATTAACTATGCTGTTATCATCTAGCATTGAGAATGTATACGATTTTTAAGTAATTTTTTTTTTAAGTAGCAATTTTTAATAACTTCCGATATCTTTTTTTCCGCAAACAAGATTTTTCACAACTGATGAAAACGAAAAGGTCCGTGAATGACCGTTAAATTCGAGTTCTCGCAACGGAATGCAAATAATTTATAAAATGATGAGAAAAAGGAATATTTTTTTTCGCGTTGTATTATATTTTTACATTCAAGTAAGAGGAAGAAATAAAAAGAAGAGAAGACAACTCACGTATTAACAATTAAAGAAAATCATTTTTTTTTTTTTTTTTTAATAAGTCTCTCGTTCTCTTACAATTAGAACACAGTGGTAATATGTATGCACTTCAGTATTACTCCGATTATGCCGCATCTGCCTTACATGAAAATATTGTAATTAGCTTTAGAGCAGATACAACAGCGCGGAGAAGTCGTTGGCTAGTCCATGTCTAGTGCAGTCACAGACAATCGATAGCACTTTGCTTAAAGTGAACATCCTTTATAAAAAAAAAATAAAAATAAAAAAAACAAGATCACCATCACCGAGAATAAGTTAAGACTATAGTAATTATGAATGGTGTTCATTTTTCGCTATCTACATAGTCATAGTATTATTATGTATGTATATTTCCATAGTTCTTTTTTTTATAACTATGACGAAATTATTTTAAAAGTGTCGCGAACGAAGACGATAAAGATGATGTTTTTACTGAGATCAGAAAATGTCTTCGGTATCTTCCGTTCGACATTTAAAAAAAGGTTATCCTTTGAACGGAGTTACGTATTTCGAAGTTATATTAATTTAACTAGATTTAGTACTTTGTTTATAAATAGTTCAATGTCGTAATTTGCAATTGTGTATTACTTAGCGTCGAAAATACCTGTTTTTTTTTAACTAGCGATTTGTAATATCTCCTGATACTTTTCTTTTCCAAAAACACAGAAGACATAATAAAATAGCTATTATATCGTCCTGATAAAAAAAGACTATACAGTGAAAGCTATCGAATTATAGGAACCCCATTGATTATATTATATTTATGAACTATAAGGGAGCAAATAATCACCAAATTATTTACATTGTAATACTTAAGTATATGAAGTTATAAGTTTATACACATCGCAAGTAAAGTCCGAAATGCAAAAGATCTGTAATTGTATTATATAGTAACTAAATAAAAAACTTTGTACTATTTGAAGAGTAATACACATATAGATTACATACAAATGTATTTCCCTCAGCTAGATTGTGTTTGCCAAAATAAAATTACAAAATTCATAGTGCAGAAAAATATTATAACATATAATTGAAACTATTATTACTCCGTATTAAAAAAAAAACATTTATATTTGTATATATAAATATATATTTTTCATCACATTGCAGACTTTACCTATAATGTACATATCAAATAGATAAATTTAATTTATACAAGCTATATATTCGTGAGACGATTAGTAAATTACATTCTTCCTTCGATGATTTTGTATACTTTCACGATATTTGTTTTCGCTTTTACTTTTTAAAATTGGAGCATGTATTAATATAAATTAATTTTTTTATATTTACGTATACAAATGTGTACGAGTACATTATAATTTCTTTTATTTTGACTAATCCTAGGAACATGCTCTAGTTGACATATCAAATTTGATGTAAAGCCTGCTGCACACGATACATTTTTACCTGCCGAATTGAGTGACTTCGCGCTTAATGTGATTTGACTCATGTTTCTTGATTCCGGATTTAATCTCAGTCGCGCTTTACATATATTTTCTTACATATGTTTTCTTCCGGAAGGGAAGCGAATTTCGATTGCTTTGCTCAGATTAAGATGGTTATATCGTACAGGGACAGCCCGTGGGGTGGGCGACTCGGGCAATCACCTGAAGCGCCAGGACATGAGGACGCCGTTTGGTGGGGAAAAAAATTACTGTTAAAAAATTGCGATCTGTAGCAGAGGTATTTGAAAATGAGTTGATGAGTGAAATGGATATTAATGAAGTAGTAAAGTAATTTTCTAAGACTTTATAATTAATATTTGCTTGCCCCCATTTTTTTCGGTTTAGGTGATTCGTATTATATTTATCTATAGTCGTTTAGTTTTTGAGCAAATTTCTAAATACTAGAGTATGTGTGGGTAACTCAAGATTTTGAGTTCGGATTGGATCGGGAATTTTTTTCGGGCCGAATGTTTGTAATGTTCAGGTATCCGTAAATTTCGGTATCCGTAAAAATCAGATCGGGCAGTGATCATAGATGTAGACTTCCTAACGTTTAAATTTAATTAATTATACTACAGCTTAAGTGAAAAACCCGATTGAAAAATTATGAAGAAACATCACATTTATGTCGTTAAAAAATTTCTATGATCACTGCCCGATTTTAAATTCGGATATTCGAAAATTATAAACATTCGGATCCCGACCCGATCCCGAAAAAAATTTCTGACCCGAACCCGAGACTCGGGTACCCGTAATTTCAAATACCCGCACATCTCTACTAAATATCGTTTTTGCGCTATAATTGAAAATGTATTGTTGCTTTTTGTCTAGCACAGGGAACGTATGTTAAAAGGATTATTCAATGCAATTATCTTTTTTGAACATGTCTGATTACCCCCCCTTCCCTCTCTCTAAAAATTATGTATTTGTATATAGAAAATATCATTATCTTCAAATAAATCTTAAGAAATCATTCTGATGTAATTATCTTAACAAACCATATGAAATCATATTTCGATTCGTTTTTTATATATTATAATTTACTCGTTGTGTATTCATATTTACGGTTCTAAGAAATTCTTTGCTTAATATTGTTTGTATAATTAAGTCACTAAGTTGCTGTCCCCTTCTTTCGCTAGATGCACGATCGCTAATGTCTATGATCACTAATGGATGCATTCAGTACTAGTCGCTCACTAAGCGCTCAGTGAGCTTTTGTACCAGTTTGGTATATATTTTTAGATCTAACGGAATATGCCAATCAGACCGCTCAGTGAGCAATCGTGCTTCTGGTTGCACCCAATGTATGCGTAGATGCTAAGTGATGATAGGGAATGACACTTTCTTCTTAGTAATACTCATTTAGATTTTATAGAACCATAATGATTTTGTGTATAGTTTCCATTCTGATTCAGTCGTATTAACTTCTGTCTATTAAACAAAGGAGATAGGAATCATAAAGTTAAAAAGCAAGCCTGTGCATTTAGAGCCTTGTTACTATGTTGAAAATTGCGTAGCTTGCTGGCAACATTACTAGCTTGTCTGTTAGATTCACGATAGATCAGGTGTCATTTTTCTTGCGTGGTTTTAACTACCCTTCTGCATTGTGAGCTAATCAAGATACAGTTTTAATCACATGATTAAAGTACTTTTTTACATTAAGTGTCATCTGCTTTAAAAAAAGAGATATGACATTCGTGATGTAAAAGGAAAAATAGAATAAAATTGCATTTTGATTGAATTTTTTCGATGATTTACAGCAGTGGTCTAATTTATTTATTCGAGCCCGGGACTTTCAAGCAAAGTTAAAGTTTAGCTGCTGGGCCAAACACGAAACTTGGACTATTTGAAGCCGAGCCAGCAACATGTCCAGCAGTATTGCCAACATCGTTGCTAATACGATACATGCATTCAGTTAGAAACTCAACAGGAAGAAATGTATCGTATGCTGCAAATTTAAGAGACGCATAGTATATCAATATCAATATATACATCACGATTAATATATATTCCTTTCCATCATCTGACGGAGGAACTGATCTTGAATAGTACCATATTTAAATGCTAGAAATAAACTATTACAAAGGTCACCTTCCTTTTAGTAAGACTGAATATTATTTTGGAATAAAATATTCTGCATATTTCGATCACACATGTATACACGCACGCACGCACGCACGCACGCACGCACGCGCGCGCGCACACACACACACACACACACACACACATACACACACACCATACACGCATTGTTACTTTCGCAAATTCTATTTTAGTCAATTAAAAATGGAAGAACTGATGTTAGACGAATCGAAACAGTTTGAATTTTATGTCCGCGACAATGCGCCACATGTTCTCGGCCTCTGACAGCAACAGAGGCTGCGCACACGCGCCGCGCGGACACTCTCGTTGCG